GAAGAGAGCTGGCATCAGAACTCAGACAGAGAGCAATACCAAGAGCTCCCCTTAGCCCCCCCAGTGCAGAACTGTGGCTCTCCTAGGTGCTGTGCGGCTAACTCGCAGTGACCCAGCAACTGGAGCTAAGAGACTGAATATCCCAGAGTCACTCCTCTCTCCTCCAGTTTCCTACAGGCCCATCATCACTGGCTGACCCCAGCCAGAAGCCAGAGGGTGAGGGAGCCCATCAGGACAGTCTCTGCAGGTGCAGCTCCCAGGGCAGAGAGCCGAATGCAGAGGACTGGCTAGGGGAGGCTATCCTGCACTGAGCTGAGCCCCCATGCATCTGGCCTCCCTCCTACCCTCTCCTCTCCAGCTAGCTATCCTAGCCACTGTTGTAAAGTTGGTTTTGGCCAACACAGATTGCTCTGTATCAACATATCCCTGCCTTAGCCTAGAAAATTCCTCTGGCTTTTCAGAAAATCTTCCCTTCCTACTTCCCTCGTGTTTACTTTCTTGGCATATTTCCTGTAATTTGCAAAGATTAAAGATTTAAGCTTCTTTTATTGCTATGTACTTTCCCGGCCCCATTATGCATTCTGCCCGTGGCTTGCCCATCTCCTCCCTCAGAGGTTCCAAATCCTTTCTGCACGCACAGAAAACGCTCTACAGGTAGACCTCACCTTGAGCCGGCCATGGCTGTGTACTTGAAAAGGGGTACGGTATTCTGGCTTGGGCTGGGACGCGCCTTACCGCTTTCCTCCTGATCCAACATTATCTTTCATGTTTGGTCTTAATTAACAAGGGCTCCCAACACTGTGCATATAGTAACTTTCCCTTTCGCTGTGCTCTCTCATGCTCTCACGCACTCACTCGCTCTCAGGGGCTTTGAATCCTGGTGTTCATGATATGTAAACAAATCCTTTGCTGCACTTGGGGCCTGCACTCTCGCGTGTCAGATCATTTGGTGGTGAGGGGAACACGAGGCTGGGAAGAATTCTGTCCATGCCAGTCTGGGTTCTGGTCAGGGCTGGCTCCTCCAACGTGCCACCGATGTGGTCATGCTGGTCCCCGTGCTCCAAAGGCCACACCCTTGCTTGAATGTTCAGCTGTGGCTGTCTTGAAATTCATAATTTTTTTTAAGAAGGGTCCCCACATTTTCATTTTGTGCTGGGACCCCAAAACTGCGTGGGTTGTCCCAGTTATTGTTATAGCTGCTAATGCTGTGGTTTTACGGGCAACCCACCTAATTCTCAGCAGGAGGGACCCCCCCCCACCTCCAAGTCGTGTGATGTGGACAAGCAGCCTGTGCTGTTGGCATTTCCCTGGGTCCAACCAGACCCTGGGCAGACTCGCAGCTGTCAAAGGGCAGGGAATGAATTAGAAGTCAGAGGACTTGACTTCTAGCCCCTGCTCTACCCTGGACTTGCTGTGTGCACTTGGCCAAGTCACTTCCCCTCTCTGGACTAGATTGCTACTTGCCCACCTGTGTTTGGCCTCAGTTAACCTATAGTCGAATTTCTGGAAATGCAGATGCCTGGGCTCTACCCCCAGAGTGACTGGATGGAGGGGTGGGTCCCCAGAATCATCACCCAGAGCTCCCTACATGATTTTGATGTGCATTCCAGTCCAAGAACCTCTGAGGTACCTGACTGGAGCCTTTGACTCTGTCTATATTGGATCACTGCATTCTTAAGTTGGGTCTTCACTGTGACACTGATAGCATCCATGTCCAGGAAGTGTAGGACACTGCGGGTGGGTACCACAGGGCAGAGACTGGAAGGGGGCTGCTCACTACTCAGACTGGAGAATGATCCACAGAGGGAGGCTGAAGGCAGCTCTATGAAGGAAGAGAAACTATCTGGAGATGGGAGACTAAGTAGTGTTATGGAGAACCAGGGCCGGAGGACCTGTGCTGTCCCTGATGCTGTGAGACGTCTGAATCTGTTCATACCTAACATTCTCCAGTGGCACTGCCCACTGAAGTTGTCACTAGCCACATGCGACTATTTAAGTAAATTAATTAAATTGAAATTCAATTAAAGATAAATAAGGCAAACAAAAAAAAAAAGGTAAGTATGTGAGGTGATAGATGTATTAATTAATCTGATGAGGAAATCCTTTCCTAACAGGTACATATATCAAATCCTCACATCTTATACTTTACCTCACAATATGTCAGTTGTACCTCGGTAAAGCTGGGGGGGTTAACTAGGCAATTAATTGAAATTTCAGTTCCTTGGTTGCACTTGCCACACTTCATGTTGTTATAGCTCCTATGTTGGAGAGCACGGATTCTAGAACATTCCACCTTGACAGAAAGTTCTCTAAAGAGAGTGGAAGCCTTACCCATCACTCTTTTCTGTGTCCAGCCAGTCGCTGGATATTTGTAATGATAGGAGATCATTTAGAAATGTACTCTGCCCCAGCCCCTGCTGCTTCTGGAATAAACTCCCCTTCCAAATCCCAACCCGCTCTGGCTGGCCTTGGGCAGCTCTCACAAGGCAGGCATACCTGGCCTGTCTGCTTTGCCCATTACTCGAAGCGTTTCTGACAGAAAGACTTCACCTTTCATTTCTCCCTGTAAGCCATGGGTCCCCTCCTTTGAGCCTGTCTTACTGGCTCTCGGGTTTCCTAAGCTCAGTTACCTAGCTGGCACGCAGCTTCAGAGAGCTCCAGAAAACAAGTTTTGGCATCTCTCCCATCCCACACCCCACAGCTCACTGAACATGACTTCAGTTCATCCAAGCACAAGCATCCCTGTGATCCCAGCATCACACCACTTCCGCTGCTTCCCTATCCAAGCTTGTTCATCAGGCTCCTGACCTCTCCTCCACCCTTCCCCTTCCCACCCATCCTCTATCTCCCGCAGTCACCTTCCCTGATGCTCCTGTGGGGCACTGGGAGGAATAAGGGGCACTCACTTCTCTGCAGCATTCACCATCCCTGGGAGAGACAGGCCCCAAATCACAGGCATGCCAGGACATTCGGACAGCATTTTGCACACAGACAATCTGGGTAAAAAAATAGCAGAACATTTGACCGCTGGAGGGAAGGGGGTGTGTTTGTGGATTGCCTGGGATCCTCTCCCATTTCTCTAACACAGGACAAAAGGATTCCTGACTGAGGGTCTCTTCTTCCTAAACCCCATGCCAGCCACTAAGCTCCAAATTTGGACTCTGAAACCCCTGCCTATCCTTCTTACTAATCCCTGTGTGCCTACTAAGCCCTTCTGTGTATGTACCCCTACCTTGGATTTGTTGCCCATCAGAGACCCCCCGCCCCTGCCTCTGTCACTGGACACCAGGCTGTCTGTGGGTCTTACCCATTCCCGTGCCTGGCCCCAGCCCTTCCCTCCTCTCAGTGTTCGTCCCCAGACTATGATCCCAGTGCTAACACCTCCCTCCCTCACTCACCTCGACCTCCATTTGTCCCCTACTCCATCTTCCCCCATTCCTGCATTTATCCATCCTCTCCCCATTCCCTTCTTTGAGAACACTCCTTGATTTGGACTCTAGATTGGCCTTGTCCATTAATAACTGCGTGAAGTTTGAGTCACAAATCCCTTATTCACTCAGCAGGCATTGCCTGAGTGCATGCTATATGGCCTGGCCCCACAGAGGACCTTTGAGATCCAGGGAGACAGCCCAGAACTTGGCTTCAGGATCCTCCAGCCTGGTGGATAAAGAATTAGTGCCCGGTGTGGCAGAAGTTTCATCAGGCATATGTAAGGAACACAAGAGAGCAAGAGAAGGGTTCGCTTTGGGTGGGGCTGGGGGCTGAATCTTCGGGGACGAGTAGGGAGATTGGTCGGGTGGACAAGGTTGAAAGGCTTTCCAGGCAGAAGGAATGCATGTGCATTCATGCAGAGCAGAGACCAGTAACAACCAATCTGGGCAGCCCGGGAGGGCTGGACCATCTGGCGCCATGAAGGAGGCTGCCCCGAGAAGGCTGGTAACAGGGGCAGGTTATGGAGGCTGCGCTCCTTATCAGCCTGGGAGAAAGTTGCGCAGGTTTTCATGCTGGACAGCTCCCTCTGCGGGCTGTTGGGCAAGAGTAAGACTGAGGATTCTGACCCAGGAAAGGCTCATACAGCCCACCTGTGCATTCTCCACCAATTGTGAGCCCATCTCTGCCATCCCATCACCTTCCACCACTCTTGCCACCTCCCGCTGCCAAGGGCCATTTCTCTTGTGAAGTGAAAGAGAGGCAGAAGTGTCTCTTCTGGTTGCCCATCTCCTACAGCTCCAAGGGGCAGCAGGCATCTTAGCATACAAGCAAGTCCTCTATTTTCATTTCTGCTGCTGTGTCTTCGTCTCTTCCCCCTCCTGATCCCCTCACCTTCAGCTCATGGCCCAGGAGAGAAGCTAGTGAATAAAATAAAGGTGCTTGACTCACTTCCTAATCCCATTTTATAGTGCCAGAGTCCAAAGCAAAGGGTTGGCTTAACTGGCCCGAATTAGCTTCTGACAGCTACTATAACAGATGCCACAAACTTCCTGGCTTCAAACAACACAGATTTATTCTGTTATAGTGCTGGAAGTCAGATGTCCAAAACCCGGTCTCACAGGGCAAAAATCTAGGGGCTGGCAGGGCTGCATTCCTTATGCGGGTTCCAGGGGGAAAATCTGTCCCCCTGCCTTGTCCAGCATCCCGTGGCTTGTGGCTCTTTCCTCCATGTCCAAAACCAGCAACAAAGCTTCTTCCATTCTATCCCTGACTCTGACCCTCCTGCCTCCTTCTCATGAGGACCCTTGTGATGACATTGGGCTGCCCAGATAATCCAGGATAACCTCCCCATCTCCAGGTCCCTCACTTAATCCCATCTGCAGTATCCCTTCTGCAGGGCAAAGTGACATCTTCATAGTTTCCAGGGATAAAGATGTAGATGTATTTGCAGACCATCATACTGCCCACCATGTGGCCTTTTCTGGCGTCCCTCTGAGCTTCTGAATCCCAGGAGTCTGTGAGCATCTGCTATCGCTGACCCATGGCTCTGTGTGTCTTTGTCCTTTCAGAGGAAACGACATTTGAAGCAGGAGTGAAAGTTCAGATCCACAGTCAGTCTGAGCCGCCTTTCATCCAAGAACTGGGCTTTGGGGTGGCTCCAGGGTTCCAGACTTTCGTGGCCACCCAGGAGCAGAGGGTAAGTTCCTGGGCTCCCTGGACTAGAGGTCCCGGGCCGACGCCGGCCACCTGCATAGGCATGAAGAGGGGAAATGGGACTCCCACTTTTGGAAGGCTCTGAGTCCACTCAGGAGGCCTGAGCGGGGATGGGCTTGGGACAGAGGTTCACCTAGAAATTGGAGACAGGTATCAGCTTAACCTCTGTGACCCAATTCTCCCATACCATCCATCAGTTCCTAAAATTGGGTGTGAGAGAAACCCAGCTTACTTTCTTTTTCACTGAATTGGGTCAGGGTTTTTTCCAGAACCTTTTGGGTGGGGGGGGGGGGCAAAACTTTCTTAATCTATGGGAAAGCACTGAGAGTGTGGGCCTCCCAAGCTGTTCCCCATACTTAATGCCTGGATACTGGCTGGAGCACACAGTGGGTGGGATGTCGGCTTTGAGGCAGACACAGAGGAGGCTGGGAGGCTGGCTGGCCTCCACAGGCCTCAGAGGTTGAGACAGGTGGAGAGATCAGAAATGAGCATGCAAGGGTGTCCTAGGTGGGAACCAAGTGGCACAGCCAGAAAACCTCATCTTTAAGGACAAAGAAGGAGGGCATGGAGCAGATGGCAGGGATCCAAGTTCAGGGCTGAGGATTTGAGTCGAGAAGGGCAAGAACACAGACGAACAAGTCCAGGCATGCAGACAACAGGCTGCCCTGGTGAGCCCAGAACCCAAGCTATTAGCCTCATGGGCTTTTGAGTACCGCCAACCCCAAGCAAAGCCAGACACTCGTTAAAGTGACAAGGACAGATTTTAATCAAAAATATACCCTTGCAGTAGGGACAAAGATTCAGCATGAACGGAACTCAACTTCCATTTTCACAGAGGTTGCTGGCATCTTAATGTAAATGTGAGGAGAAGGGAGGGGAGCAGAAGGGTCTGGGGTAGTCAGGGAAGTGAAACATGGCAGAAAGCAGGAAGGGGGGGACTGTTCCATGAGAAACCCACCTGGGTTTGCTAACGGGCACCTGTCAGAGTTAGGCTCCTATCTGTCCACAAAGACAAGGGGACGGAAGCCCAATCTTTAGGTGTTGGCTGGAGCAAATAGTAAATACTTTGGGCAGGCTTGAGTTTTCTTAGGCAGGGACTTACCTTCCATGAGTGACACCAAAGAAATTTCTGGCCTGAGTGGGAAGCTGGAGCTCAGGACTTCTAAGAACCCTTGACTCTCTTCCTCTTCCCAAAAGGAAACCAAGGGACTCCCCACGGTGAGCGAGAGACAGGGACAACCTGTTCTGGGCTTCAGAGAACAAATTTGTTGTGTGCTTTGAAGTGTGTTCTCAGAAAATCAGCCTCATTCATAGCAGCCTTGCGATGAGTATTATAACTAATAATAAGATATTTGGTTAAACATTTTACAAATCTTCAAAGCATTTCTGCTTCATCTCATTTCATCATTTCATTCGTATTAATAGAGAAATACAAAAACACATCCTGGAGCTAAACCTAATAATAAATTATGTTTACATGTATATGAAAGAGCATATTCATAGGAAATAAGACTCAAAGGAAATAAGCCAGAATACCCACAGTGGGGGAATTGTGAATGATTTATTTTCTTTTCTGGGTTTTCCACGTGTTTTAGAATGTGGCTCTTTTGTTTATTCATTCAACAAATGTTTGTTGAACCCCAACTATAAACAAGGTGGCGGAGATACGGTGGTGAACAAAAGAGACCCAGGGTCTGTCCCGCAAAGCCCACGGATTAGCAGTTTCTTTCCCAAACAAAAACAATAATTAAATAATGTGAAGCAAAGTGTAATGGTGATTGGTCCCATTTGTATGATCTCATTCTGCCATTAGTATCCAGCTGACCCTGGTTCTCAAACACCGCATTTTAGTGATTCAGAAGTACAGTTGACTTCTGAACAACATGGGGTTTGAGGCACCAACCTCTAACAGAGAGTCGAAAGTCTATAAGCTTTGACTCCCCAGGAACTGAATTAGTAATAGCCTACTGTTGACCAGAATTAACACATATTTTGTATGTTCTATGGATTATATACCAGAGTCTTACAATAAAGTAAGCTAGAGCTAGGAAAATGTTAAGAAAATTATAGGGAAGAGAAAATACACTTACCACATTGTACTATATTTATAAAACACACACACATATAAGAACACCTGTCTTGTTCAAGGGTCCACTGTACTTTTTTTTTCATATTTTAACATTTCTGAAATCGGGATTTGTCTCTCAATCAATGGCACCTTAGAGCTAAAACTAGCATTGCTATTTCTTTCTCCGTGGCATATAAAATCATGGTGTATCCTACGGTCTGCCTTGGCTACATTGTTTCCCTTCCAGCATTCCCTGCTTCAGCTCAAAGCTCAAGGGAGTCTTGCGAAAAGGCCAGGGGTGACAAGACTGTGGGAGCAGGAAGCCCTTTCCTGGAAAGTTGAGGTGAATCACACTAGGGAAATGGACTCCTGAGTGAGAGCCCAAAGAGGAACTGGTGATTGAAAGGATACCTACCATGAATCCCTTTGAGAATGGGGAAGTCCTTTTGCATGGTAAAAAATCACTCAACCCACGCCAAGTATATACAGACCTCCTTCTTTATTTTTTCATTTTTTTAATTCCAAAAGAGCACACTATTGCACTGTCACCCAAAGCAAAGATCACTGTTTTAAAAATCAGTATCTGCCCTAAACCCAGTAAAGCCAGGGTATGCTGCTGCCTTCCAGGACAGGCTGAGAAACACACCTCTGGCTCGCTCAGCTACAGTGGGAGCCCTGTGTGATCCCAGGACCGGCACCACCACCACCAGAGACAAGCAGCGGGATGATACACTGGGGTGGAGACAGACCCTGGAAGGGGGATATAATACCAATCACTTCCAACTGAGCACACACCAACTACCAGGCATCAAGCAACCGAGACCCTTGACATGCATTCTTTCATTTTACCCCCACAGCAACCCCAAAAAGGAAATAATATTATCTCCACGTTCCAGAAGATAAAACTGCACAGTTAGGTAACTTGCTTAAGGTTGCATAGTAGGGGGAGAGCAGGGCCCAACTGTGAGCCCACATCTCTCTGTGGAGAGGAAATCAGCCTGGGGGCCCAGAGGCCTCAAGTCTAGTCCTAATGTGCTGTGAGACCTCCGACAATTTGCTTCCCTCCCTGTGCCGTGGGTTTCCCAAGCATGGAATGGAAGGGCTGGGTTAGACGACCTCAAAGGGCCTCCAGCATTAATAGCCCCGCAGTCCCAGGTAAATAGTATCCCTAAAACTTTAGAAGAGAGGTTCTGAGCATGCTCCTCGGTGGTAACCCTGCCTCAGCTCACACACAGAGTGGTCACATTGCTACCCTACCGAAATCCCTTAAATTCCAGCACTTCTCATAATTTGCAAAGCCTCAACCCTTAAGAATGGCTTCTGAGGTCCTGTTCAATGTGGCCCCAGCCCTCTCTCCGGCTTCATCATTCCCTGTGGTTGACGAACATGCCTTGGACATCAGCCAGACACTCTGTGTCCTTCGATGCCTGCTTCATGCATTTGCTCCCGCTGTTCCCTCTGCCCAGAATCCCTTCTTTGTCTTATCTGCTTGGCAAAGGCCTACTCATACTTCCAAACGCTGCTTAAAGATCATGGTCTTTAAGAAGACTTTCTCCCACCCCTAAGAAGGAGCTAGTTGCTCCATTCAACTCTCTGCACATTCATTTATTCCTTCAGCAAATACTCAATGAGCACTTCTTGTGCCGGGAAAATGAAAATCAGCAAGACCTGCTCCCAACCTGGGAGCGCTCAGAGAATGAAGTGGGTTTGTTGATAATTTTGTGACACTCCTTAAGAGATACAAAAGTCTCCTTGTAGGACTTACTTTCCTTGTGCATCACTTATCTTTACACCTGCCTTTTAAGAACTGATTTCTTTAACCTCCAGCAGCCCTTGTCTCATTGTAGACTGGGAGCTCCCTGAGAGCAAGGCCTGTACCTCTTAGATTCTATAACATCGGTGCCTTGCTTATATGTGAGCTTAGGAAATGTGCATTGATCAAAGAATGAATGAACTCTGATGCCCAGATCCGCACCCTCTGCTCAAATAGCACTCAAATGTTATACTCTAAAGCTCTCCCTGCCTCCCCCCTCCCACCCCTGCCAAAATCCCCATGTAAATGTGCCCTGAGGTCTCTCCTTCTCCCTGAGGCTAAGCCAGCCTGTGACAGATGACGTTATCTTTATCATTCTGTCTACACACTTAGAGATCCTAATCAAATCAAAAGCTTATGAAATGGGTCAGGGTTGGAGACCATCCGTGTACATGAGAGTGGATGCAGCAGATGAGAAGAGCAGGATAGCACTCTGGAATTTGCGGAGAATTATATGAGTGTGTGGATAGATCAAGTGCAAAGCTAGGACATTCAAGTTTAGTGCTTATTAAGACCCAAGACTGTCTTCAATGTTGACATCATCAGTCAAACTCTTTTCCCTAATTTAAGGTGATTGCCAATCCTGATGGGATTCCCAGTTGTGATTTGATATCAGAAGACTTTCATCATCTCCCATGCCCTCCTCCAAGAGCCTAGTGGTGATTCAAATTAGTAATTCAGCCACTTTGCCCATACCTCTAGGTAGGTCTGAGAATGAATCTGGAGATCCTGGGTAGTCAGTAGGCCACCAGCCCCTACTGTTCAGAAAATTTCCTGGAAAACATGGCCCTGGGTCTATATTTCGAAGTCTCAGAAATGCCTTGGGGTACAGGGTTGGAAAATCACTGGCCAGAGGTATCCCATTTTCACCAAGAACCCCTTTCAACACCACTCGTTCATTCGCCAGTGGGAATGAGAAGGGTTCCAATCCCAAAACCTGGACTCCGTGTTGGTTCCTCACTTGGGCTGTTTCCAAAGTACCATAAGAATGCCCACCGTCACACCCTACCCTGCACTGAGCAGCTGCCCACTGGCCTGTTTGGGACTGTAAATAAAGGCAAATATAAATGGTTGGGTCCTGCTGGACCCAATTAGGTCATTG